AAGATTCTAAATCCAGGTGTGGGCCATGTCTGCCATCCCTTTAGGGAGACTGAAGCAGGAGGACTGAGAGTTCATGGCCAGGCTGGACTTTACAGGGAGACCTTATCTGAGAGACAGAGGAGGGAGTGCCAAGGTTCAGAAAGGCCTTGGCCACCAGCTAGTTAACACTAGTTACCAGCCGGTTAACAGAGAGTTCTAACGAGCCCCAGGAGTCCTGCCCACAGCAGCTGCTGACCAAAGGCAGTGCAAGGCAAGAAAAGAGCTTGTGACATCATTAGGGTTATTTAAAACAGTTGTGTTCCCAGTTCCAATTTTGGGTGTCTCACAACTGCCTGTGACTCCTCCCAAGGGATCTGACTCTTGAGAGACTCGAGACAGACAAGCAAAACACCCCTGAGCCTCAGGAGTCTGAGGGACCCAGGAACTAATACTTAGATAATAAGGGGGAGAACAGAGCCCTGGCAGTGGACAGCCGGTGGCCTTGGCTGCCCCTCCAGGGGGAATATCTTCTGTGACCTGTTACCCAGGCCTGCCCCAAACCAGGCAAGCAGCCCCGCCAGCAGACAGGCAAAGCCACTGGAAATCTAGGAGGCCAAGTCCTGAGGAGGCTGCTCTCCTGTATAGCTGTGTTCCTCACCATGGGCAGCACATTGCTGCCTCAACTCCTCTGCTCCCGTAAGGAAAGAAAAAGAAAGAAAAACCCGAGGTGTGTCATTTCTGATAGAGGAGAGGCAGTAGTCAAAGTGAAGACTTCCTCTCTCCTTGGCTTGCGACCAAGATCCTGCTTGTGTAGACCTGTGCCTACATGTACAAATTACAGAAAGCTGAGGTTCACAGGGAGTAGTAGCCTGTGTGACTATAACTAGATACTTGAGGCAGATTAATTTAGAAAGAAAAAGGGTTCATCGAGCGCCTGCCAGTCTGTAGTCTTTAGTACAGGGCAGTCAGTCTGCTGTGCATCTTGGCCAGAGTTTCTGGTGAAACAGAGAGGTGGGACCAGGGTCCCTTTAAAGGAACAACCAGATGACTCCAGGGCCCCCACTAGGCCCCATCTCCCACAGTGTCCCCTTTAGGAACAACCCTCAACACACAGAGCTCTGAGGAACACTCAACATTACAGGTATGGGCAGCCTCCAGAGCCCAGAGCATGAGCCCTGGGCTCTCCCAGAGACACTGGTGTATTCAGAAGCCCCATTATTGCAACTAAGGCTGCAGAGATCCCAGGTGAGAGGATGGGCCAAGCCAACTGTCTCCAGAGACACTCCCCACCCCCCAACAGGCCACCAAATCCCCAAGATCCACTAAACCTGGAGCCTGCCTCCACTGGGTCCAAAGTTCCTGGAAGCTCTGTCAGGTGCAGGACTGAGTGGAGCCAGCTTCCCTGTCACCCACACTAATGAGCTCACAAGTCATAGCAGGTGTCAGGACACCAGGAAGCTCAGGGAGAGCCTGGGGAGGGGGAAGAGGAGGGATGAGGCAGCCTCACTGGAGGAGAGGAAAGCCAGAGTATAACCAGGCTGGGATGAAAGTTTGGTCTTATGAGACACTGGACAGATGAGTTGCCTGGGCCTCAGTTTACTCGTCTGTGAAATGGCAATGCAGCAAGTTGTTGTCAACAGATGCCAACTTCCCACCAAGCCTGTCTGCACCGGCTGATAGCCAAGCAGCTGTGGCAGGTGACTCAATGGCTCTTTGCTACCGATAAGAAGAGAGGAAGGCATTTGGATTGGATCTGTGTTTCAGGGTCATTGGCAGACCCTATAAAGACACAATTTCTGGGCCAGCTGTGGTGTTGCACACCTGTAATCCCAGCACTGCTGAGGCAGGAGGATTGCAAGTTCAAGGCTGGATTTGCAGCCACCTAGGGGACACACCTCTGGATGTGTCTGTGCGGAGTTTCCAGAGACAAGATGCCGCCACTGGGGACTCTGGATGTGGGTACCATCCCATGCCTGGAGTCCCAGGTTGAATAAAAAGGGGACTGCATCTCTCCGCCTCCTGACTGTGGGGACAGCGTGACGCTGCCTCATGCTCCTGCCTCTGTGCCTTTGTCACCCTGGTGGACTATGGACTGTGAGCCGGAATAGACTCTTCCTTTCCTGAACAGCTTTGGTCAAGGGTTATATCACAACAGCCAAAAAGCAAGCAACATGTCAAAATGAAATGTCTACTTCAGACATAGCATCCTGCAGCCGGTCACAGTAGCCATACCTGCGATCCTGGCCTGTGAAGGTGGGGAACAGCACGGGGGTACGGAATCATTCGATAATTCAAGATCAGACAATTTTATATGATCAGAGGATTATAGAGAGGTCTCCTGGGATGCTACTGCCATCTGCTGGTCACTTCTGGGTACTACATAGCGCTATGGGGATTACAGGGGGCTTTGAAGACACGCATCCTTCTGTTCTAAGAAAATGGGGGCCAGATCGTTCTTAATGCTCAGCTAACTGAGCCCTGGGAGAACTGAACAGAAACCGGCTCACAGCCTGCACTCCTGCTGGTCTTAAGCTCAGGCTTGGCACAGTTGGGTGTGAGTTAGCTGTCTACTAAGCCAAGCAAAGAAACCAGGGAGCAAATGCAGTCCTGATTTCCAGAGTGATGTGCACACCTGGTGGTCTTCAGTCAGGCAGAGCCTGAAGAGCTATCTCCATTTGGATGATAGTCACTTGGTTGATCTGACTAAGCAATGCAGAAAGATTAAAACCACCATTTAAACTCGGTATCACAGCACGAGAGCCTCCTCACCCTGAGGTTGGGGCTAAAGCAGGAAGCTCATGAGATCCAAGCTGCCTTGGGCTACAGAGAAAGACCCTGTCTTTAAAAAACAAAAACAAAAAAACAAAAAAAACAAAGGCTGGGATGTAACCCACTGGTTTTCCCTCCTGGGTATCACACAGTGTTTGCTAAGACTCAGAAAATAAACTAAAAATTAAAAAGTTCTTCTTGCCACAGGCCCAGGAATACTCTTCAGAGTTTAAAAAATCACTTGTCAGTGTCTTGAGACCCATCCGTGGGTGTGTAATGCAAGGAATCTTGAAAAGTTCCCAGAACTGACTTAAGGGAGGCCCCGGAGCATGATTGGAGACTTGGCTGCAAGTGTCAAACTCCGTGCAGAGCCGAGGGTGAACTTGAAGTCTACAGATGACTTCTGTTTCCTGGGTCAGCAACATTGGCCAAGCATGGCCCTCATGAGCTACTGGGCTGCTCTGGGGAGCTGGTTTGAAGCAGACTCGGCACCCCTGCAGCTGCTGTGAAGGCCCTCCCCTCACAGAAGGAGGCTCTCCAGCTCATGAGGCTGCATCTGTTTCCTGTGCCCACCATTTGTATCAAACCTCTCACTTGTGTGTCTGTGGACTCATGAGAACACGGAGTGGGTACTGGGTCTCGAGGACAGGACACTGAGTGACCCACTCATTTTTCTGCAGGTCCGAATTTCTAGGAAACCTAGAAATCTAGGTATGAGTGCCTGCCAGGGCTTGCCCATACTACTGCTATTATCTGAGATACGCCTCCAACTGTATGGTGGCCTGGAAGGTCCCTTTCTGTTAGCTGACCAGCTACATGCCGAGTATTGAGGAGAGGGGAAAGGGGAGTCTTTAACTTCTCCTGAAGGCTTTTGTTGGGGTTTAAAGATAATTACTCCAACGTCAAGAGTGGGAGCCAGTGTCCACCCATCCACCCCTTCCAGATGAAATCCCCGATTCTTCCCAGTACTGACAACTGTTGCTGATACACCTTTATCCATTCATTCATTTTCTCTTTGGGGAACTGAGACTCTGGACCACCTACAGGGCTGGCATCGGCTATGAGACAATAGGGCTGAGGTGGAGTGCGGCTAAGCAGCACACTGGCTGCACCACCCCAGCAGGTCACTGCTATTTGACCAGCAGCCTAGCCAGTAGTGCTGCCTCCAAAGAAGCAGAGATCCAGCCTGTGACATGACAAGCCCTGATTCCTGATACCTCAAAGCCACTAGGGGCCCATCTGCACCGTGTTCTGCCGTGGGTCTCCAGCCTCAGTTCCGGGGAGCAGGAGGATGGGCAAGCTTAGATTTGTTTCATTTACTTCTGTGAGTAGTTGGGATGAAGTGCTATCTAGAAGGCATTTCCAGAGGAAAGGGGTTGATTCCAGCTTACAGTGGTGGGGTTCAGTCCAGCATGGTGAAGAGAGGGTGAGGCAGAGGTTGGGGGGGAAGCACACTGCATCTGCACTCAGGAAGCAGAGCATGAACAGGAAAGGGATTGAGGTATAAAACCTCAAGGCCCACCCCCAAGACACGCGCCTTTCAGGGAGGCTTCACCTCTTCAAGGTTCCACCACTTTCCCAACCAGGTAACAAGTGTTCAGCCACACGGGACTGCTAGTGAGGCTTCACATTCAAATCACGACCCTCCTAGTCTTTTTGTTTGGTTGGTTTTTTTGGTTTTTTGTTTTTTGAGACAGGATTTCTCTGTGTAGTCCTGGCTGTCCTGGAACTCACTCTGTAGACCAGGCTGGCCTCGAACTCAGAAATCTGCCTGCCTCTGCCTCCCAAGTGCTGGGATTAAAAGTGTGCGCCACCACCGCCCGCAGACTGACACATTATAGCATGTTAGCAGGATAGGTTAGATGACTGAATAACTGTTTCCTGTGAACCTGGGCTAGGTGCTGGGATCCTGAAATGAGCATATTGTAAGACTGAGTTCCGGGAAGGAGAAGCATCAGAAAGAACACACTCCACTGCCTTTCTTACAGTGCTGAGGACATTTTACAGACGCTTCGGGGGCATTGGAATCCCTGAGGGGACAGACCTGGGTCAGCAAGGAGTCCTTAGATGCATTTTACAAAATAAAACCCGACACTATTTTGAGGCCCTTGCTGTATGTAGGTTACGAGTCTGGGGTCCTTGTGGTGGGGCCTGGACACAGAGGGCAGGGAGAGGGAGAGAACCTTCAGTGAGTCTCAGGGCTCTGGCTATACTCTGGGGATGGTCCCAGAGCTTGCCTGCCACAAAAGGAGAGCAAGTAATAACAAAGGGGGGGGGGAGAGAAGAGAGAGGGGAAGAGGAGACAGGGGAGGGAGAGAGGAGACAAGTCAGGGAGAGAGGAGAGAGGGCAAGGAGAGAGGAGAGAGGGAAGGGGAGGAGGTGAGAGGGTAGGTAGAGGGGAATCGAAGAGAGAGGGAGAGGGGAGACAGGGTAGGGAAGGGAGAGTGAGAGAGGGCAGGGAGAGAGGAGGGCAGTCAGAGAGAGCCCCTTCACATATGTTTAGTGGAGGCAGACACAGTCACAGGGGAGGGAAGATGAAGTCACCCTGGGGGACAGTTGGGAGCAGTTGTCAAACGCCTCCAGTTCCTGTGTGTCTAGGCAGGCCACTTCCCTGGAGTCCTGAACCAGCAGGGTCACACCAGGAAAACTAACCAGAAGGCCGCAGGCTTTCCTCAGGTTCCTTCTCTCCCCATTCCTGCTCACCCGGGAGCACTTAAAACTGCTGATGAAGCTCTCTCTTTCTGAATGGCCGGCAGCTGGCACAGGAGGTGACGCTAATATGCCAAGGCTCTTCTCAAACCAGCGTGAGGGCCCAGAGGCGGGGCTCTGATAGGGAGATGCCAGAACCTGTGCACATTGTTAGTAGGAGTATAGCACGTGGGTACCTGACGCTCAAAACTGTATACAAGCCCTCAAAAATCAAAACAGGAGCCGTGCTGGGACCCCGCGATTAGTTTTTTGGATGTCTTCCCCAAAGAAGCAGAAGTCGGACTCAGCTGGATTTGCACCCCCACGGTGACATCAATATTGTTTACATTAGCCTAAGCCACGTGTGAATTTGGGACACAGGACATGGTCTTCTCATCCACGGAATACTATTCAGCCTTAAAAAAAACAGAAGCCCTAGCCGGGCCTGTGGCAGCACACGCTGTTCATCCCAGCACTCAGGAGGCAGAGACAGGCGATCTCTGCGTTCCAGTCCAGCCTGGTCTACAGAGTGAGTTCCGGGACAGCCAGGGCTACACAGAGAAACCCTGTCTCAAAATAAACAAACAAAAGCAAACAAACAAAAAACAAAAACGGAGGTGTTTATGATTCAAGGTAGGAGCCTCGAGGATCTTGTGAGAGATGAAATAAGCCGTTCGCCCAGATTACAGTCACACCTTTCCCTTCCTCGAGTTCAAAGACACCGGAAGCTGGAGTACAGGAGCTAGGCCTTCATGCTAGTGGCCCAGCAAGGGGCTCCAGGTCCTAGAGATCGGCTGTTCACGGATAAGTGGGTAAACTTTGTGAGGATTTTGCCACAGTTTAAAATTTTGTAAATGTTTGAGCGTTTGTGGCGATTTGTGCCCGAGCGGTGTTTCCTGGCAAATGGCTCAGCCAGCAAGTTCTGCCTTAAGGGCTGCCTCTGTCTGGATTTGGCGTCTGCAGTACCCAAGAGCAGCCACCAGGGGGAAGCGTGAGCCTATTGGTTGCAGCCACTTGGCTTTTGGTTCCACAGACAATTGACCCGAATAACGCAGCGTTTTACTGCATGGGCACTGTTGGATGGAAGGAGGAAACTCTAGACCGTTTGTGGCAGGTGGCGTTAGGGAAGGATTCCTGGCGGAGAAATGAGTGATCGGAATCAGACGTGCACTGGAGGAGTGGACCGTCTTTTTAATCGATCGCCACCACCATCCATCCCTCACTGAGCGCCCTCCACGGAGCGGACATTCTCTGTCTCTTACACCCATTCCCTTTTGCTAACGAGAAAACTGAGGACTAGAAAAGGTGTAATACTTTCTGGAGGTCGCACAGCTAGTAAAGGGAAGAACCTAGATTTTACCTTATTTTTATTTTTACCTTTTTACCCAGATTCCACAACCCTATTCGTTCTGTGGCGCTCACATATAGTCTGTATCCAGAGACAAGAGACAGAGCGGGAACCGGCTGGGCACGGGGTGGGGTTCTAGAGAGAGGATACTGCCGGGTGGGCTATGTCACCCAGAGACTGGGACTGTCTCAGAGCCATGTCTGACTTCATTTCAGCTGAGGAGTCCCTGGCATGTGACAACCCGGGGCTTCCTGAGAACGGGTACCAGATCCTGTACAAGCGGCTGTACCTGCCCGGAGAATCCCTCACCTTCATGTGCTACGAGGGCTTTGAGCTCATGGGTGAAGTGACCATCCGATGCATTCTAGGACAGCCATCCCATTGGAGTGGGCCCCTGCCCATCTGTAAAGGTAAAGAGACCCAAGGAGCCAGGGTGAGGGCGGGCTCCAGAGGAAACTGAGCTTGCTCTGAGGGAGGGTTTTCACAGAATCTAAATCCAGTGGGTGCCTATCCAGTCTGGTTTCTTCATTTGTTCATATGTTTCTTGAGACAGAGTCTCATGTAGCTAGCCTAGGCTAGCCTTGAACTTCCTTTGTAACCAAGGCTGGCCTTGAACTCCCAGCCTCCTTCTTCTAACCTGTCAAGTACTGGGATTGCAGGGACAGGCCACCAATCCTTGATCCCTTTTTGTTACTGTAACAAAATACCCGAAAATGGATACTTTATGAAGAAGTCTGTTTGGTTCAGGGTTGTGGAATTCAAGGCACGACTCTGCACCCCTGGGCGACGCATGCCGCCTGCTAACACAGCAGGGCCATCCCACAGGGGGACAGAGAGAGAATACTAGCTCTTACAGAGCTACTGAAGCCCAGCCATGGTCCCTTGAAACATCAACCTATAAATCTGGGCACTAATATAGCGGTAGATGGAAGTAAAGGTGCGGCACGATCCTTGCTAGCTCTCGGCCATGTTCCCACTCTATGTTCCCGCTCTAACCGCGGCACCGGCTAGCCAGTGGTGCCATCCCAGGACCCACTAGACGCTGGCGTGGCTGTTGTCTCTGCTGGTCAGCTCCATGTAGTCCATGGCTTTAAGCATGGCCAACTCCACCACCCCCATGCGGTAGGTATAACAATTCCCAGTACCCGGTAGAAGTAAGATTTAATGTGTAAGGTTAACCAAATAGATTTATATATCAGCAAATGTTCAATGTACAAGATGCCCACACACTTAGAATTGTTAACCTAATATCTAACTTTTTGCTATGAATAACTACCAGAGACTGCTAGAGACACATACCATCTGCCTCCATTTCACTTTTCCTCTTCCTCTCGTTCCTTCCTCCTCCCAACTCCTAGCCCCGCCTACCTCTTCTCTATCCAATCACAGAGCTCCAGTGCAAATACAGTGTTGCAGAACTTTTCCTAACTCTCCAATTGAGAAGTCAGCTAGCTTCTCAGCAGAGGATGTAGCTACTCAATGGTGACTTCAATTAGTCGAAATCTAATCGGAAGTCCTGGGACTTGCCAGAGTGTGCACGCAGAGTGGCTGGCACAGCCTGACCACCCCTGGTGCAGTCTCCCACTTAAACCTTCACTTTCACGCTCTGTATCCAGGAGTGCCCTGGTGGAGGCAGTTCAGCGCTCGGCCAGCAGGGTGGCTTTGGTGATAGAGCATGGGTTATCACCCTGGGACTTTGAACTTCAGGGTTTTATAAGAAATAAGAATTTATGAAAATAATCTAAATAGAATATTGATCCCAGTCAATAACTATGGAAAGTGAATGTAATATAGTTGTTATCAGGGTCTTGAGTCACACATCCTTGGAAAGAGTATTAAAAAGACCCCATGAAAATATTATATAGTTAGAGGTGGTGCCATACACCCACCAGAACAGCAGTTTGGAGGCTGACGATGAACATTCAAGGCCAGCACAAGAGGCTGTCTCAAAACAGCGAAACAAAACCTTAAGATCTGTGAGAGAGACCAAAGCTGCAGGTTGGAATCCCGAGTTCCCAGCTTAGAAGCTGTGTGACCTCCGAGGCCTTGCTACACTTCTCTGACCCCGTTTGCTTTCCTGTAAAACCATGACAATGAACCATCACACGCAGGAGATTGGCAAGGGGTGGGCCGGGATGCATGAGCCCTTGGCGTGATACAGAATGCGTGGCATGTGCCATCACGGTCCATAACACTGCAGATGTTTACCCATCTCGTTCCTCTCGATGTTGCGGGAGGTAACCGTGGAGAGCTGTCCTTCAAGACATCATCGGCCCCATGCTCTCACAGCACTCATGGGACCCATCCACCTCTGCCTGTGCAAACAGTAAACTCCCTCAGTGTTGACACTGCTTCCCGTTTCTGTTTCAGTTAACCAAGACAGTTTCGAACACGCGTTGGAAGGTGAGTCTTACTCTATCTTGTAAGTTCTAATACATCAGGCAGCTGCGTTGATAGCTTTTTCCCAGGGCCTCCAGACATAGCTACTAGGGCTGGAGAGAGGGATAGGCGGTTAAGAGAGTCTCTGCAGAGGTCATGAGTTTTATTCCCTACACCTGCGTTAGGCAGGACTCCAGCTCCAGGGACCCAACGCCCTCTTCTGGCCTCTTTGGGAACTGCACTCATTTGGCACATATACAGAGAAAGAGACACACAGAGAGGAGAAAGAAGAAACAATAATAAAAGCAAGAATAAATAATGAATAAAAGCAAAAATAAACAATAAAAATTAACTTACGTTCCTAAGTATAACTTGAAGGGATTTGAGAGTGGCCTTTCAGTCAGAAAAGCCTGAGAAGCCCCACCATTGCCAAACAGCTTCCAACCCACAAGTGTCGTAGGGATGAAAGAGACTCATCTCACATCCTGGGCAGAGCATCCTCATAGCTGCAGAGGGAAAGGCTGCTGGGCCAACCAGGGCCCTCCTCCCTCTGGCTTTGCTCCCTGGTACAGCCACCTCTCCTCCTGGATGTGGCTTGTTCTTGTGGACAACAGCTAGCCAGGATTCTTTCATTTTTGAGATTCCTTCCTGGAATGGAAGGGGAACAAGGCAGCAGGAGCCTGAGGCAGCGGCTTATGCCACACCCACGGTCAGGAAGCAGAGATGGATGCTGATGTTCAACTCACTTTCTCCTCTGTATTTGGTCAGGGACCCATGGTATGGAGCTGCCTGTATCTAGGATGAGTCTCCCCTCCCCACGTAGCCTTTTCCAGATACCTCATAAACACACCTAGGGGATTCCTGAACCAGTCAGGAAGACAGTGAAGACGAACACTCCCACACATGAAGCAGCTTGCCTTCTGCACCATGTCCAGTCCGTTCAGTGCAGGATGGTGACCTGTTCATCTCATTTAGAAGAAGCCATAACCAGTTTAATGGCTGTTCCCATGGTCTCTAGCATGATTAGTGTAGTTCTGACTACCTACAGCTGGCCGGGCATCAGGCTGTGTGAAGTACAGGTCCTCAGCCAATGTTCCTACGGCAGATGTATGTTAGTCCAACAGAGTCAAGCAGGGGACAAAGGTAAGTCCTGGAGGATAGTGGGTCAGCCATTCCTCTTAGGAAGCAGCATGCCCCCACAATGTTCGTCTCTCTGCCTGGGAGTCCCCGGCTGCCTTTTGCTTCATGTGCAGTGAACTGCAGTGGCAAGGGCCACCCAGGGCCCTGTGCTCAGGAGGTGTGAACAAAGCCAGGGTCCTGGATGTTCATGTTCACTGTGGAGGTTCAGGGATGGTTATTTTCAGTCATGTAGGAAGTGGCTGATGGGTTATAGATGGAAAGGTAGCTGAGTTTTGTGAGACACAAAACCAGAGAGGGTTTTGTGAGACACAAAACCAATGTGGGAGAGGAGGATCCAACCTCAAACTGTGCTAGGAAGAATGAGCCCAGATCCCAAAATATCTGCCATGATCTCTGTGGTTGCCATGTGCATTTGGGGCAACAGGAAGCTGGGCAGTAGAGCTGTCCACAATCTCCCAAGCCATCCGTTGGTGCATCGCACAGGCAAGCTCTAGAATGGGCCCCAGCCTCCTGCAGCTGCTCACAAAAGTGTCCAGAGAACAAGGCAAGATGGTTCTAGAACTTTGTCCAAGTCACTCCCTGAATTGAATTTTCACCAGATCTCGGCCTTCTGACTGGCTTCGCATGAACAGGGATCAAACTGGCTCTCAGCCACTCTTTGATCACCACAACCAAGAGTGACCCTGGGCTTCTTAGCAAGGGCCAGCGGCCCAGCTTCTGTTTTCCACCCCTACACAGCTCTCCCATGTCTAAGGCTGTAGGATGTCAGCTGGGGAGGGGCACTCACTTGAGAGCGGGTCCCCCGTGGGCGTGGGGCTCGTGGGAGACAGGACACTCAGTGGCTTGTGTGCTCAGTAGCAGAAGCGGCAGCAGAGTCCTCACTGGAAGGCGGGAACACGGCGCTAGCCATCTTCATTCCGGTCCTTCTCATCTCCTTGCTACTGGGAGGAGCCTACATCTACGTCACGAGGTAGGCGGGGTTGTGCCCTTGTGAGCAGCACCTCTGGGGCCTTTGCTACTGGGAGGAGCCTACATCTACGTCACGAGGTAGGCGGGGTTATACCCTTGTGAGGTATACCTCTGGGGCCTCAGCATCTCTGCCTGATCCTTGGATATAGTGGCCTCCTGTGATGTGAGAGACTGTGGTCAGAATCAGACGGTGTCTTGGTGCCTCCCGGTTCCCCTGTGACAGTCATTCTTCTGTTCGCTTAGCAAATGCAAGAGATAGCCCAGGGCTTGATTCCCAGGTGTTGTCAGTCACAGCACTTGCCCTCGAAGGACAAAAAGCCATGTCTAGAACAGTCACAGACACCTCCACCAAATAGTTTCAGAGCCACCACCATGTGCCAGCAGCCTCTGGGCTCTGGGAATGTCACGGTGAGCAAAGCAGACTCCAGTGAGGAACAGTAGCCGATCTCCAAAGCACAGGAGGAAATCAAGTACCGATAGTCAATAAACAGAAGGAGCCCGGAACAGAAGTTGCATGCTCTGGTGGAGTGGGCAGAACTCCACGCCTAGTAACGCTTCCGAGCGGGCTTTAAAGTGGTCGCGAGTGACATAGGAAGCTGGCAGGCGAAGGAAGGTGAGCAGCCCTTGTAGACCTCACTCCTGCCTTCAACAGCACAGTGTGTGGTGGGGTGCCATCCGGAGAGACACAGGGCGGGGCTTAGAAACAAGTCAGAGAGAGAGAGAGAGAGAGAGAGAGAGAGAGAGAGAGAGAGAGAGAAGAGAGAAGAGAGAGAGAAGAGAGAAGTGGCAAGACTAGCCCCTGTGGGGTCATGAGTAGAGAGCACTTGCCCTTAACAGGACCCCACCTGCTCAGGGCTATGGGGCTGTGTCTACACACCCCGTGCTCTTCACAGAGCCCGGGGGCAGCAGGGTTGCAACTCCAGCTTTGTTGTCTATCCTGCAGGTGCCGACAGTACTCCAGCCTCCGCCTGCCCCTCATGTACTCCCACCCCTACAGCCAGATCACCGTGGAGACTGAGTTCGACAATCCCATCTACGAGACTGGGGTAAGTGGCCCTGCTGCCCTCCTGGAGGGCTTCCCCTTGGCCCTACCTAATCCCCAGATGAGCAGAATGCCACCAGGAGAAGCCAGCTCTGCTTATTGGTGATTAGAACTCAGCTCGGAGCATCCAGGGGCAGCTGTTGTGATTTGCTGAGCTCCGTGGATCTTTCTGCACCTTGCAGGGCAGGCTCCTGTGGACATCGGGAGGTTGATGCTACCGCTGTGCCTCACTTAAAGACAAGCACGTGATCTGAGAGAGAGACAGAGCGAATGCCTCTTGACCTCCCTGTCAGGGAAACCTCACAAAGCACTCTTCCAAGAACCTAAGTGGCCAGGTCACTCACTCTTTGGGGCCTCTTGGGTGTGTCAGGTGTTAAGCCAGAGATGAAGCATAGTTGCTGGCATCACGTGACTTGCATTTGAAGTCCTCTCCTTCTGTGGCTGGGATGAGCCATGGAAGGTATTCAGGCGGCAACGGCAGGAACTCCCCGTCCCTCTTCCAGCTTTGTCTATCCATCCAGCATTGGATGTACCAGGCATGTGCACTGCAGGTGCCACAGCCTGGCTGCAGGCTCCAGGGTGCTGCAGAGGGTGGCTATGTCTGCACTAGGCAGTGGGGCCCTTTCAGCTCCCACGGAAGCCTTCCAGTGTCACCAGGAACTGCAGGTTCCTGTGGTCGTAAAGCTGCTACAGATACAGTTGCTGACTCCTGTGAGCAGAAAAGCCTGGCAGAGCGCAAGGAGCACCGACAGTGGTGCGTGATGTACCACGTGACCCTCGGACTCTTCTCTGTGACTCAAGAGGACTTGGAGGTCCAGCGAGATGAAAGGGGCTCAGACAAGGCTGTACAAGCTTGACTCGACATCCTGAGCCCTCCCTGCCCTCCTGCCTCGATGAAACTGGTCCATAGTTATGATGAGTTATCATCCTGAAAGACCGCAGAAAGCTAGCGGGTCATGTGATTGCATAGTGGGGAACCCTTGAGGTAGGTGGGAAGATTTTGGCAAAGCTGAGATGTAGACATGACTGAAAGTTAGAAATTGTCAGAAAGGTCTGAGGTGAAAACGGAGAGCCTCTAGGCTTAGGGCTGCTGACAGCTCTGTCTTAGAACCATTGTGCTGTGAGAAGTAATTCTCCCTGCTGTTAGGAAATGGGCAAATCTAGTCTATACTGACCTGCTACCATTTCCTGCTTCGACCTCCCGTGTGAGCTATCTCCTATATGAACACTCTGCTTCGGGACTCACAAATCATAGCCACGGGTTCACCATGGCTTGGCCCAGGGAAGGATTCACACCATCCTGGCTCACCACACCACCGTGGTTGCTTGGACTTGTGGGTGGTAACAGAAAAAGAGGAGCTTGAAAAAAATAGGCCAGAGCTGGATTGGCCGGGGACCTGTGATCTCTGATGGGTTCCTTACGCATTGTAGAAGTTCTCAGCTAAGGCAGGCTGTTTTGTTCCCTAAAGCTGAGGGCGGGCTTCCGGTCATCTGAGTTTGGCTTTTTCCACATCTGTCTTCATGCTTCTGGAAGCCCCTACCCCCTCCTCCTACCTACCCAGGCCTGACCTTTGTAAGGTGGGGACCATGAGAACACCTCACGTTCTTCCCATGGTACTTCCCATCTGCCAGGAAGTATTGATGTGACCGTAGCTGTGTTAGCCTCCCAGGAAGTGACTGTGGCACTTCCCAGGTGGAGCCTGTGACTTCATTGGCTCCTGGCCTTCCGCCCTGGTTCTGGCTCAGGGAGCAGTGGAGAAGGGGACCGGCCACAGCTGCATGGTCCTTATTCTCTTCTCAGATCTGGAGTGAAGGTCATGACGGAATTCAAAGGATGGATTTGTGGGGAGGAAAAACACACGTGGGGCGGGCACCTGGGCCTGAGTCTACGTGGTGGCCCGAGGACGGGCAGGCGGCAGAGTCCTGCGGGCTTTCCCGCCAGCAGGTTCCCACATACATGAAAAGGGTCCAAGATTCCAGAGGCTGGAAGCTTGTCGGCAGCAGACTCAGAAGACACGTGGAGTCCAAGAGATCAAAGCTTTATTGTCCATGGCGGGATAGTTGGATCTGGATGTGCTTGCATACCCCCAGAAGCCAGGAGAAGGCTAGCTTAACTAGGGAGGGGGAAGAAGGGAGGGAATAACTTAACTAGCTATGCCTCCCCGGCCCCCCCGCCTTTAGATAACTAATTAATATGTAAATCTCTCGAGGGGGAGGCCTGTTAGTCACACCCTCTACCTGTGTCTTACATGAATGACGGTACAGGTTAAATGGAGATTAGACCAGAGATTAGACCGAGTGTCAGGGCCCTGGGTTCTAGGGGCATGGCCAGACACCTGCCATCTTGGGGGGTTCCAGGCCCATGCCAACCCAAGAAACAAGATACCCTTCCACTGACAGACAGATTCATACTGATGGGGGCTCAGGAGTCCCAATCGCCTTGAGAGTCAGTCTTGAGGCAATGGGGCTAGTCACATCAAAGGGTTGGGGTTCTCAGAGGACCAGCTATGTCAGCTCTGCCCCTTCCTCCCCCCACCCAGTCTTTCCGATCCCTATGGCCATAGTGTTGGCGGGAGATCAGACCCCAGAAGATGACATAGCACACCCGCACACCTGTAGCAGTGATTGAGCAGAGCGGACTACAGTGTAGAGTCCCAGGCCCCAGGCCAGGGACACAGAGAGGTGTGATGCCTTAGATGTCTTGGGATGTCACTCTGCCATTCAGGGCTTAACCCATGTGCATCACTCTGTCCCACAGGAAACAAGAGAGTATGAAGTTTCCATCTAACAAGAGCTGCCCTGGAAAGGGGGACTTCAGAGACAGACATACAGACATGAACTGTCAGGACCTCCTCGGACATTCATCAGTGACCCTGTGGCATTGGGTTGCAGCCCGGCGTGGACGCCATCTTTCCTCTACACTGTTTCTTCGCATTACTTAACTATATTTAAGATTGAAGGCATTGACATCGGTGAGTTTGGTACGTTGCGGAGGCAGCCAAGGTCACACGACAGCCTCTGTTCCAAAGGCAGGTCAAGTTGGATCAGCAGTACCAGGCTTGGGCCGCCCCATCCTGCATGGTCTTTGGCAACACACCACAGTGGACTTGGTACAAACGGAAGCCCTGGGGTTGTCAGAGTGCATCTTGCAGGGTTGTCTTGGAGTGGGAATTAGCCTGAGAACTTAAGCCAGTATTTCCCCTCCAAAACAAATTCTGTGTCCTCTTTTCCAATTTAAAATCCCTCTAAAAGGTCTTACCCCATCTTCTTCTTCCCCGTGGCCTTCTGAAGGCAGCAAAGACTTTCCTAGTATTCCCTGAGCCCAAGGAACATCGATAAGATGAGCAGGCAGTTCATTTCTTAAAAGGTGATTAGCCCAACGCACTGTCAGAGATGAGGCACAGGAATCCTGGGGAAGGGGACTTCAAAGAGGGATGGATACCAGATGAGTTATGTACTGGAACCCACCACAGCTGGCATGGTCATCCGGAGGTTAGGGACATAAATCCACAGGCAGCTTGGACTCCAGAGTCACCAGATCTGCAGGAGAGGGAGGGATATGCTCTGACCTGAAAGTCAGGGGTCTGCTCTGATTCTCCCCTGGGCTCCTAGACTGTCTTGACCTTTGACATAGCCATGAGAGACGCTGCCTCCATACCTTGTTGTTCTCACAAACTCCTTGGCAGGGGAGGTGCTGAGAAAGAGAGAGGACCCTTCCTGGCCTCTCAGGCTCTGGGGGGAGCAGGAATGGAGAGAGTGGCATCAGTACCCAATCAGATTCCCTGTAGACAGAGCAAGGTGGAAAACCACAGGATAACAAGGCACAAGGTCACAGCCTGAACGTCAGTAAAAACAAAAGGTTTCTGAACAGCAGACCTTCCCAGCCTTCAGCTACTGCTCTGTTAGCCTTTGTTAGAGGTCGTGGGTCTCCAAAGATTATTCTCTAAGTATAGTCATAAAGAAAGGTGTCAGGGTTAGGTGCTGGAGGAGACAGCAGGCATGGTGGAGTGATCAGGGGTTGTTCAGGAGCCAGGCATCTGGACAGTCAGCTTCAAGGACCCTCCCTGTGTTCTCCTGTGCTGTCTGGGGTTGTTGTGTTAAATCCCTGGGTTTCAACGAAGAGAAAGCGCTTTTTGACTTCAGGGTTATAGGGAGAGTATATCTTCTCAGCCCTCATCCTAGCAAGGATAGACTCATCTTCCTCCAGGAAAGCCCCTTGTATGCATGTGCCTGACCACTGTGGCTGAGGGGATTTTGGTCATTCAGCTCATTCACCCACAGAAGAACCAGAGGATAAACCGTACAGGCTCTAGGGAGCAGAGGCCCCTTGGGGAAAGACCTACTATGAGTAACGTGGCCTTTCTCCCAGAGGCAGAACCTATTGGAGATGTTTCCAACCCCAGCCCTAGGTCACCTGCGAATTCTGTCTGTGCCGTTTGATTTTAGTCCACTGTTTGCCCCTGTGGAAACTAAGCACTTGCCTTCTGTAAAGGCTGACTGTATGTCGCCCTTCTAACCCTGCTCCCTAAAGCTGACTAGGTCATGCCCAGGTCATCTCTTGCCTATTGGGAGGGGGGGGAAAAAGGTGGATTTTTTTTTTTAAACAGGAGACCAATGTCTCAGTTCTGACTTAGTGGTACAGTCGGTGTGGCCATGTTTAAAAATGTTGTTCTAGCCTAGAGGTAAACCACGTGAGCTCACAATGTACAATGACAGAAAGAACATGCTGATGTCTAATTTTTTTTTAAATACCTGACTGTGTATTTGTAACATGTAAAGGTTTGGTTTAAAAAAAAAATGTTACTAGTGCCAAATTACCAGATGCCAGTTCCAAGGCATTTCGTGACGGTCCATCCCTGTCTGTTTTTACAAGATGGAAATATGAACCCATCGGGATTAAATATTTTTCGAACGGGATACACTCGTGAGCCCTCCCACAAGCAGCTCCTTGTTCTGACGTCAGTGGGGGACACGTATTTTGGAACGTGCTCATCCTTCATACTGATTGGCGCAGGCAGCACTGTCAACACGCACAGTTCCACCCCCTTCTACTCAGAGCTCATCCCCCCTTCCCCTTTAGCTTGCCTTTTGGTAGACTCATTTTGCCAGCATAAGTATTCTGACCTCTGCCTGGGGGGCCATCTTTCCAAGCGATCACACCCCGAGCCTTTGAAGCCAGCTCTTTGGAGAATTCACAAACCTCAGGGGACAACTTTGGAAATCCACGCACATCCCTGGAGAAGGAGAAAGGTTCGAGCCTGGATGACACCCTGGGGACTCCGACGAACCAAAGGGTAGCTTCGGAACCATAGGCAAAACGACATCTTCCTTTGGTGGTGACCTTCCTGTGTCTTTGATGAGGCCCGGTGAGATGGCACTCCAGGCCCGGTCTTGTGCGGCACTCGGCACCCACAAAGACAGGCGTCTTCTCTTGCGGACGCTTGCTCTTTCATTCATCATCAAACAGAATTTAAAAGGCAAACTTTCTAAGCTAGAAAAATGAAATGAAATCATTTTCCACTTTGTATATATTGCTGCTAATAAAACAGTTGTAAAAGAATGCTGGGTGTAGGTTTTGTGCTGAAGCTCCCCGGTGACACCGAGAGCTCTGTTTCCTGTTTCTGGGGATTGTTTCTGGTTTCTGGGGCTCGGGATGAGGTAGCAAGTGCTGATTCTTCAGATGGAGATGCAAGCCCTCTCTACAGTGGCTCTGGGCACCTTTAGAACAAGACCTGTCTGGGGAACTGCTACCAAAGGACAAAGCAAAGTTATCAGAGTCAGAGGGTTCAGTGGGTAGAGCCACCAGGCCTGATGACCTGAGTCTGATCCTGGGACCCACAAGATAGGAGAAAGTTAGCTGTAGCTATCCTCTGACCTCCTGGTGTATGTTATGTGCCCTACACATAAACAAAGAAAGTAAATATAATCTTAAAGCTTTTTTTTTATTCAATATACCAAAAAAAATTTAAAGCAGGCCACAGAGTTTTTCCTTCTGGAAATAATGCATTTGAGTTCTATATAATTTTCTTTTTCTTTTTTTTCTTGACAGGGTTTCTCTGTGTAGCCCTGGCTGTCCTGGAACTCACTCTGTAGACCAGGCTAGCCTCGAACTCTTGAACTCAGAAATCTGCCTGCCTCTGCCTCCCAAGTGCTGGGATTAAAGGCGTGCGCCACCACCGCCCGGCTCTATATAATTTTCAAGTGTGTCTTTAAAAAGAAGATATCAGATCATTTCTAAGGAAAGAGAAGAAGGAGGAGGAGGGAAAGGGGGAGAGGGAAAGGAAGAGGAAGAGGAAGGAGAAGGAGGGAAGAAGGAAGAAGAGGAAGAGGCAGGAAGGAACATACTCCTGTAATCAGGAGACAGAGACAGGACTATAATTCAAGTCTGTTCTGGGCTACACAGTAAGACTGCGTCTCAAAAAAAAAAAAAAAGTTTCCAGAGATTTTAATTCCAAAGCTTCTAATTCATATGTCTTAATCTAATAGGCTTTCTCAGTAAACATAAATAGAGCAATGTATTTGTTGCTACATCATCAATTTGTGTCTTTGTTGTTCATTTCTTTGTTGAGACAGAGTCTCAGCCATGAGCTGTAGTGAGCAGAGCCTCAGGCTGGGGGTTGTGCTTGATTTCATTTGCAACAATACTGTTACATTTTCTCCAATCTGCCACACACGGGGCTTGCTTCCCTGACACCTGCTGGTCAGCAGTCTCTAGAGTTAGCTTGGATGGGTGGAGAATACCCAATCTCCTGAAGGGAAGGCAGACTGGAGGCTGCTCCAGTCCCAACCCAACTCCCTACCTTAAACCCAGTAAGATGCCTTGGAGGACAGCAGTCCCTGCGTGGAAGCAACATCAGGATGACAGAGATAAGAACTCAGCGGGCAGGAGAGGAAACCTGAGTCTCAGAAGAGCCCGCATTCCTCCATCCAAATAGCAAAAGATCTAATGGCACAGCATGAGCCAGTCATCAACCATGAAGGAGGTGGTGGGCATGTATATTCTGCAGCTAGAGGGTTGTCCGAGGAGAGCCTGAGCATGTAGAAATGCCATTTCCAAAATTCTACCAGCCTTTCAGCATCCCCCCCCCATAAACTTTCATCCAAAGTTTCTCTCATACATTTCTCTGGTACACATGTCTGTATACATGTTTCTGTGCACACTTGTGCATGTAAAGACCAGAGGTGCCTTAGTTAGGGTTTTGCTGCTGTGAAGAGATATCATGACCAAGACAACTCTTATACATAAAACATTTAATTAGGGCTGGCTTACAGTTTCAGAAGTTCAGTCCATTGTCAACATGGTGGGAAGCAGCATGCAGGCAGACACAGTGTTGGAGGAGCTGAGAGTTCTACTTCTTGATCTGAAGGCAGTCAGGGGGAAGCCCTGATTCCACACCGGGTGGAGCCTGAGCATAGGAGACCTCAAAGCCCACCCCTACAGTGACACACTTCCTCCAACAAGGCCACACCCACTCTAACAAGGCCACACCTCCTAAGAGTATCACCTCCCATGAGCCAAGCATTCAAAACATGAGTCTATGGAGCCCAAACCCATTCAAAACACCACAGAAGGTAACACCAAATATATCCTCAGAGCACCAATTCACTTTTGAGACAGGGTCTCTCATTGGTCTGGAGCTCACCAAGCCCCAGGGATCCTTCTGTTTCTGCCTCAAAGTGCTAAGTATCTTTTGAGTAGCCCAAACTCATACAAAACTCACAGCAATTCTCCTGCCTCAGCATACTAAGTGCTGGAGTGACAGGTGAGCCTCCACATGTGGCTCAAACTAAGCTGCTGTGGCATCCCTGCAGTGTGATCTTTTATCCTGGGAAGGGAGAGACATTGTACCCCATTCAAGCCAGGAGTCACAGACTGGCCCTACACACGTAAGTGCAAGCAGGCAAGTCAGCAAATCTCACTTAATGGCTTGTAA